ATCTCATAACAGTTTCGGGTTTTTTTTTTTTTTTGAGGGCTATGTAAAGCTGCAATTTTTCCATTGACACTAGTGAAATCGAAAGGGGAAGGGTTGATTTTCATGTTTGAAAATTTTCATACATTACTCACGTCGAAAGGAAACACATGGCAAGATAAGGTAACTGTTTTGAAGAGATATGGTCTCGAATATATGCTGGGATATAGGTTTATAATAACCAAGTTAAATTAAATGGTAGAAGTTTCAGAAGTGTTGAAACAATCAGGTCAAGAAACTACTTAAAGGACATGCCAAAAAATTGGTGAAAGTGTAAAGATAGGAACTTAAAAAAATATTTATTTTGGTGTCAGGGACAAACCTCGTACTTGTAGGCAATTTTTTACCAGGGCCAAGGTCTAGGTATAAATATCTGAATATATAATATGAACATATCGTTTCCTATTACATTTTTCTTCGTTTGTCGACGATGAGTTTCAAATTCACAACCTTCGTTTGTGTAGTCAGAAACGGGCACTTTGTGCTGCCGTTACTCATTACTTGGTAATGAAGAAAAATTTATTTTCCTTTGCGACATCCTATTAGAAATGACCCTACCGGTAATGCAAAAGATAGTTGGTTTATATTACCAATAAGACATGCGTCTTAAGTGGCGCCCAAACTTTTGCTGGGAGTATAATTGCAGTGAATATTTTGTTAGAATTTCAGAAATTATTTCTGAGTTTTACCAATCTCTGGAAGCGCTCAGCAAGTGTTTTTGGAAACAACCCTACCGGTAATACAAAAACGAGATTGCTTGCATTACCTTCTAGTGCTATATTTGCCTTATGTGGCGCCCAAGCAATAGCTGGGAGAAAATATATGCCAAAGAAACATTTCACTTTTACAAAAGGCGAGATTATAAGAATTGTTTACGTTGATTCCAACTACAATCTGAACATTTTCACTCTCCCAGAATCTGGAAGTGAGTGCTAGTCTATAAATATTCTCGGCCAGCCTAGTAGATTATTTTATTTTAAATACTCATATTAATAATAATTTAGACCTTTAATGAAAGAGTTCTCATAAAAATATCCCATTGCCTGTAATAAGCCAATATATTTCATAATTGTCTTATTTCATTATTTTTCTGTAACAATACACCGGGCTTTTAATTAATTATTATTTATTAATACAGACAAAAAAATGGAATTGAATACAAAATATTAGGATGAAACGGAAGATATGAATGATATTTTCAGATTGAAAATATTTTACCCTAAGCCAGACTGT